CCCGGTGAGGAGTTTGTGATGGACGGCATGCGGGTGCACCTTATAGCAGACGGCCGAGAGGAAGCCACGGGCGCGATGGGCGGTCCGCCTCTGTTACCTGCCGAGGGAGCCATATACCTCACTACCTACCGCCTCATCTTCAAGGGCACGCCCACCGACCCTCTAGGTACGCTCCTATTGGTTAAGTCGAGCTTCACACTGGGGTCGATTTTCATAATTAGTTCAGAGCAGCTCACTTTAGTAAAGTCTCTGGGATGCTGGTGGTCATGAATTATAGAAATTTCCTGCTTGTCTGAAGCAATTTTCTCACTAGCTTGACTCTGTGCTCACGCTTTGAAATTGAAAATGAAAATCAATGTGCCTTTTACACAAAAAGCCTTTTTGTAGGTGCGATAAATTTTGCCATGCATGTTTGTATTGTGCAGTTGGCGAGCAAGTGGTCACCCGCTCCTTCCCCATCGCTTCCCTCACGAAAGAGAAGCGGATCTCTGTTAATCTTCCCATGGATCAGTTCTTCCAGGAGGTTCTCCAGCTGCGTTCCTGCACCTTTCAGGTATTGGGTCGTCTGATCTTTCTTTGTTTCCTGTTGCTCCATTACTCACGATACATAAAGAACAAGAATGCTTTCCATTCAGTTAATTATGTATGTATTATTAATTTAATTATAAGTGAATTAATTAATGAATTTTATTTTAAATGGATATTAAGGATTGTTTGGATTCCAAAAAAAAAACAAAAAACAAAAACTCAATTTGACTTGGTGTGATGGGTTTTGGTGCAAAAGAAATGCTTGCAAATATTTATTTTATTAAAATATTAATATTTTTATTTGTGGTTTAGAAGCATTGATCAAGCCTTTACTCTTTACCAGTTATTACATTTTGTTCTCTCTTGTAGCTGATGAAGATCGGCTTTGATGAGGAGGTGGCATCAGATCTCGCAGAAGTGTTCAGGAAGCACATGCATAAGCTCAGATACCCACAGCACGTCCAGGGCATGTTTGCCTTCACCGTGGGTCAGTCTGCAAAGCTGGTGGTGGAGCACAAGACCAAGGACAAGAACCAGTCGCTAAAGTAAGAACCGGTTGGATGCTGGTCTAGGGGGAGGGATCTTCCCCTTTAAATGTGCAGATGTGTTTGTCAGAGTTTGTGAGACACGGCTCTCAGTAGACCATTTCTGTATTTCCACCCTCTTTCTCTCACACACACTTGCAACTTCTTTCTCGATCCAGCCTCTTCCTGTT